ATGTAATGACACCACAGAGAAGTAAAACCCAACACAATGAGGAAAGAACATAAGAGTCTTTCAAAAAAAAAAAAAGGAAACATGGAGAAAAACACAGTAATCAAAGAATGAAATTAAATTACACAAAACACTGGGTTGCAGACCCACTACTGTGACACACAGAAAACAACAAAAACAAAAAAACGTATGCACTATCGTTATGGTCAGAGGAAGCTTTGTGAAGCTTTGAAACATGTATTAAGGTTTATTACTCAAAACTTTTCAACATGGTCCTGTTTGGTTGCCAAAAATATGTAGAAGGAATCTACAACTTGAAATAAAGTGCTTCATTATGATTGCCCACTCCACAGAGCTGAATTGACAGCTTCAGTTTTTCAGATCCTGGTTTAGCAGATCGCTGCCATCTACTGGCTGGCTGGAGTTTTTATTGTGTTTTCCAGTATCTGCTGCACCACCAAGTTCAGTATTTAGTAACCCGTGTTGAGTTTGATGAGCAGCTCACAGCTGGAGCTCTGTGTGTTCAGTCTGAAGGTTTCAGGTAAACCAGCGTGTAGCTCCAGGCCGGCTGCACAGTTTGTGACAAACATCAGAGCTCCTTCTGTTCACATCAGGCTGCTCTCGTCCTTCCTTCTAGTCCCACATTTATACTGTGAGCAGCTCTGACTGACAACATGCTGTCACACTGAAAACTTCACATCTGCTTCTTCCTCCTCAACAATTCATCTTTACAGTCTGATCTGCAGCTTCAAGAACCTCTCTGCTCCTGACTCTGTGCTGCTTTCATTAATGTTTAGACCTTCTTCATCAAATGTTATGTTAGTTTCTGATGCTATGGTTCAGTTTTCTATGGTGCTGATCATAGGGTGTGTACTTGTTAAATGCTAGTATGGCCCTCAAGCAAATGACAAGGCCAGGTGATGATCTTCCAGTCCTTTAATTGGCAGATTTTGCAGAACACTTACGTAGGTGGGTTTGGCTGTGGTTGTTCTAGAAAACAGAACACAAACTACAATCCCATGTAAACCACAATAATCACATTATTCATATTTCTGCATTTTCTTTTTTTCTCAGAACATAAATCCACACTTGGCTCAGTTGTCAGCTTCATTTTTTGTTGTGATCATGTGGTGACCTCCATGTATTATTATTATTATTATTGTTATTGTTATTATTAATAATATATTATTATTGATATAATTATTATATTTTAAAATTTATTATTTAATTAATTATATTCTATTTATTTGCATATTTTATTTTTTTTTATTTTTATTTAACCTTTATTTAACCAGGAATGTCCCGTTGAGATCAAAGACCTCTTTTTCAAGGGAGTCCTGGCCAAGAGGCAGCACATTTCAAGACAAATACATACGAACAAACAAAGTTAAAATTACACAAAACAATTACACATTATTGAGGCAGCCTGTAGGCCTTTGAGTTTAGTTTTAAAAACATTTAAAGACAACAATTCAGTTAGTTTCCAGTCTTTCTGTAACATGTTCCACGAAAAAGGCGCAGAGTGGACAAAGGCTTTCTTACCCAGCTCTGTGCGGACAAGGGGAACAGACAACAGCAGCTGATCATTTGAGCGCAAGGAGTAAGAACCACTGTTGTGGCGAATCCACTTAGCCAAAAAAATGGATCGGACATCAATTGGAGAAACGATAGTCTTTATATAAGGCTTCAAAAAGGGGAATGTACAACAAATAAACTGCTCGACATCAGAGCAACATATAATGGCTTCCCAAACTTTCTTTGCTAGCTAAAACCCAGAGTAACTTTCGTCTACCACAAAGGATTCTGGGAAACGCAGTTTTCTAATGAAAATACCTGTTAAATGCTCCCCTTTAGCAGAAAATTAAATCTATAATTAACAGCTCTCACTAAACATGTGACTAACACTTAAATCACTTACAAAATAATCAAAATGCTGTTATCAAACAAAAACTGCAATAAAGTTACAACATCCTCCCCCCCGATGAACAATCTGTTCATCTAAAGCTCTAGGTTATACAACAACTGAATCGGTCTTCTTAACAGAGTCCCCGTTGTCGTGCGAACTAAGCAAGATCTAACAAGACCGTCTCGACCAGGAAACATTTCTTCAATTCTTCCAAGTTTCCACACTTGTCTGGGGAGGTTGTCATGCCCAATGAGCACGACATCCCCTAGTTTTAGGGGTGTAGGCTTTGAAGCGTCACAGCAATGAGCTGACTTCAACTCCAACAGATAGTCCCTTCTCCAGGTGTTCCAGAAGTTGGTCATAAGTTTCTGCCGGTATCTCCATCTCCGAGTAATATCCTCTTTGTTAGGTGTTGGATGGTGTGTGTCCTTCGGGATTGACTTGGGTGGTAGAGATGTCAGTCGTTTGCCCACCAAAAAGTGGGCTGGAGTAAGTGGTTGCGGTTCATTTACCTCGTTGTGCACAAAGGTGAGAGGCCTAGAGTTCAGAGTAGCTTCGACTTCCGCCAACACAGTACACATTTCTTCAAAGTGGAGTGAAGCTCTACCTAACACCTTCTTGAGACAGATTTTCACTGATCTGACAAGACGTTCCCAGAATCCACCCCACCAGGCTGCTCTTTCTGCAATGAACTTCCAAGTAATTCCTCTTTCCGAAAAAAACTCCAGCAAATGTGGGTCTTTAATTGTCTTCCACAGCTCCTTCAAATCTTGGTCTGCTCTCTTAAATGTTCTGGCATTGTCAGAATAGATAACTCTGCATAGCCCTCTCCTGGCAATGAATCTCTTCAACGCTAGCAAAAATGTCTCAGTTGACTGATCTGACACAAGCTCTAAATGGACCGCTCGTGTCACAGCACAGGTAAATAGGGCAATGTAGGATCTTTTCACAGAATCCTCTGTTTTCACATAGAGTGGCCCAGCAAAATCCACACCTGTAACTTCGAATGGTGGTGACTCGGATATTCTGTCCCTAGGCAAAGGTGCAGTTAGCTGATGCCCAGCCTTTGCCTTAAACCTCTTACACACAGTGCATCTGGTCACAATGCTCTTAACCAGCTGCCGAGCCCGGATGATCCAATATCTCTCTCTTATTTGTACAAGAGTGTCCCTCACTCCTGAATGCATCACCCTTTTGTGACAGTCCTGTATCAGCAGTTCTGAAAATCTGTGTTTGTTTGGCAGAATCCAAGGATGCTGCTCTCTGAATGTGAAGTCCGACTGCTGCAGCCTGCCTCCAACACTAAGCAGCTCATCTTCATCAAGGAATGGTTTCAGTTCCTGAATCTTACTGTCATTCATCATAGGTTTTCCTACTTTCAGTCTCTGGACCTCCTGGTGAAAACTGTGATGTTGTGCAACCTTAATCCAGTACTTCTCAGCATCAAGAAGCTCATTTGCTGTCAGCTCACCTCGCATCTTTGGTTGCATCGTTGTTTTTGCATTAGCTATGAATCTCCTAATCCATGCTGTCACTCTGAGCACTCTCTTCAGTTCGCTGTAACTCTCAAGCTTCAGTATTGGTTCACAGATGTCAGTGTCATTAGCAGCAAACTGCATGGCTATTTGATAACTGGATTTAAGTTCTACATTCATTTCGTCTGAAATGTTTTCATCTTCAGACTCAGGCATCCGATCTTCTGATACAAGAAAACTAGGGCCATTCCACCATAGCTGGTTTTGTAGTAGGGCCTCCACTGATTGTCCTCTTGTGGGCAGGTCAGCGGGATTAGCTTTCCCTGGGATGTGTGACCATGAAGATGGACTCGTAAGAGTCTGGATCTCAGTCACTCGGTTTGCAACAAACGGTTTCCACCTTTGTGCCGAACTGCAAATCCATTGCAAAGTGATCATGGAGTCAGTCCACATTTTTATTTGGGCTTGCTCCATCTTCAGCGAAATGATCAAGTTGTTCGCCAGTCTGGCCCCAATCACGGCTCCCATGAGTTCCAGACGTGGCAACGTCATTTTCTTTAGGGGAGCCACCCTGGCTTTAGATGCGACCAAGCTCATTGTCGTTTCTCCTTCTCGTGTTTTGCCTTGCAGATAGGCCACAGCACTGTATGCCCTTTCACTGGCATCACAAAACACATGTAATTCCAAGCCCTCTTTGCTTTCTTGTTGCATATTGATTTGGTACCACCTTGGTATGGTGAGCTGGTGTAACTGAGTAAGCTCTGAACACCACTGTTGCCATTCTTGTGCCAGATCTGGTGGCAATTCCTCATCCCAAGAGAGCCCCCTCTCCCACATTGCTTGGAACATGCACTTGACCCTAATGGTGAAGGGGTTCAGAAACCCAAGTGGGTCATAAATTCGTGCTGAGGACTGCAGCACGCTTCGTTTGGTTCCTTTCTTCTCTGTTAGAAGCCTCACTAGTGAACTAAGGTCAAAGGTGAAATCATCAGGCTCTGGCCTCCACACTAATCCAAGCACCTTTAATGCTACTCCATTCGTCTCAGGTGCCATCATGTAGTTTGTGGAACTCTTCTCCCATTTCTGCCTCAGTTCAGCTGAGTTTGTCATCCATTTGCAAAGCTCCATACCAGCAGCCGCCAGTATTTCTTTGGCATTCGTCGTTATGTGATACGCCTCTTCCACTGAGCGTGTACTTGAAATGAAGTCATCTACGTAAAGTGACTCCCTTATTGTATTCACCACTTGTGGTTGGCTTGTTTCATATTGTTTTAGATGTCTTTGAATTGTCGCTGCAAGCAGAAACGGGCTTGGTGTAACTCCAAACACCACTCTCGTCATCCTCAGAATGCGCAGGTGATCATTCACTTCTCCATTCGGTGCACCTGAGAACCACAGGAACCTGACTGCATCTCTGTCCCTTTCTGCAAGACGTATTTGCAGGAATGCTTGTTTTATGTCTGCCAGAAAGGCGATTTCGTGTTCCCTAAATCTAAGGAGAACACTGAGCAGATCTGGATTCAAATTTGGGCCCGTAAATAAGCAGTCATTCAGCGACAGACAGCCTTCTTCATGGGACGATGCATCAAAGACCACTCTTAATTTTGTAGTTGCTTTGTCCTCTCTCAGCACTGCATGGTGAGGCATATAATACATTACAGAATCTGTGCTGCTGTTTGGTGTCACTTCCTCTGCAATGTTCTGGTCCAAGTAGTCCTCCACCACTTGATTATACCTGCTGAAGAGTGTGACATCCTTCTTAAATCTTTTACTCAGACCTTCCAGCCGTTTTTTGGCAACTCTGTAGTTGTCTGAGAGCTCTACCCTTTCTGGCTTCCATGGCAACTCCACCTGATATCGTCCATCTTTAAACATAGTCGTTCTCTCAAACATCTGCAGAGCCTCATCATCTTCTGGGTTCTTTGTTGTCTCATTTGTAATACCCAGAGACTCTATTTCCCAGAATGCTTTCAGTTGCTTGGAGAGGAGTTTCTCTTCCTCACACGGAATGAACATGCAGGCTGCCTCTGTAACACTTGATGCAGAAACCGGCCCCTGAACAGACCATCCGAAGGTGCTCTCCAGTGCCACCAATGTTTCTGTAAGTCTCTCCACCCTTCCTGTCACGATCTGCCAATAGTAGTCAGCTCCTATGAGGACAGCAAGCTCTGGTTCCTCATTGGATCCTGGGAAGTCAGCCAGTTGTAATCCTCTTTTCTTAAGCTCATGCTGGATCTGTTCACCAGGAACCTTCATTATTGCCGAGCACACTTGTGGGGTCTCCACAGCTTCTATTACAATACTCTGGCTAGGATCCCAGATATTTTGTAGCATAACCTTCACTATGCCGCGCTGTGATCTTGTGGGAAAGGAGGACCCAAATGTGTGTAGTGTCAATGTCTCTTGCCTTATTACTGGTAAATTTAGGCTCTTCACCAACGTTTCATGTATGAAGCTTCTTTGGCTGCCTCCATCTAATAAGCAACGAGCTATCCTTCTGCCTGACGGGCCTTCAATCCACACCTTTGCAGTCTGTAGCAACACAGTGTTCTGTTCACTTGGTTTCACTCTTACTGAATGAGGGAGCACGGAGGAGACCACTGCTTCTTCTGGTTGGGATGGGGCCTGTACATCCACCCTTTCACCACCGCACACAGCAACGTGATGTCTCCGTCCACATTTCTCACAGGACACATTCTTGGTCTTACAGAATCTTGCAATGTGTTTCTGTCCCAAACACACAAAACATCTCCCCATTCTCTTTAACTTGTCCTTTCTTTGAAGCGTGTCATTATTTGGGCAGTTTTGCGATTTGTGATCGTCACTCTCACAGAATATACAGGTGTTTTGTTTCTGGCTGGCTGTGTACAGGGCAGCAGTAGATTGTATGCTAGGCCTTTTAAACCTCACATCGTTGAACGGTGGCTTGTACAGTTTATTTTCAGCTTTCTGTGGGTTGTACGACTTTGTCATTTGCAGCGCTCTTTCCCTGCTCTGAACCTCCTTCTGTAGGAATGTGACCATTTCTGACACTTTCCACTCTTCATCTCCATTTCTCTGACGGCTGTATTCAAGCGCTATATCATCTGGAATCATCTTTAGCAATATTGGGCATAACAAGCTTCCGTAGCTTTCTGACACTACACCCAATGACTCTAAACTTCTGATCTGAATTTCACATTCATCATACAGCTGCCTCAAAGCATGCACATCAGAGGATTTTTTAACAGGTGTGAGGTTCAGCAGTTTTGACATGTGCGCACTAATTACTACATCCTTTCTTCCAAATCGGTTTTGCAGTAACTCAATTGCGTTGTCATAATTTTCATCTGTCAACATCAGTCCTGCAACTGCCTTTGCTGCTTGGCCAGTGAGATAGGTTTTCAAATAGGTAAACTTCTCTCTTTTGCATAGTGCATCATTGTGGTGAATAACAGCTTCATATTGACTCCAAAACTCCTGCCACAAACTGGCATCTCCATCATATTTGTGAATGATCAGCTTAGGAAGCTTTACCGATGCTCTCTGTGCCAATGAATGAGCAGAGCTAGCGTCACTCACCCTTTGATGTGCGGCTTGTTCGCGGCAATCCTCATTTCTCTTAATTATGCGCCGTGCACGGCTCTTGGACAGGATGATGCGCTCCTTATATTCCTCTGTGCTTTCGATCTCCATTTCCAGGTCATCCAGAGCTGTTTTACGTTCTATTTCACTATCTAAGGCATACAAGCTGAGCTCCTTTGCCGACAGCATTTCCAGTAATGCGCTCAGATGGTCAGTGTCCGGATCTGGTTTAGCCATTTCGGAGTCAATTTGATGTACAAGTCGTGTGGTAGCACCTCTTATCGTCCCACGTTTCCGTTTTGTTCTTTCCATTTCTCTCTGATGCTCGTCATCTGCCACTCCCGCAGCTTCGGCGGCCGCGGCTCCACGTAAGTCCTGTTCGCTCATTTCTCCCGGGTTTCGGCACCAAAAAATGTTGTGGCAAATCCACTAGCCAAAAAAATGGATCGGACATCAATTGGAGAAACGATAGTCTTTATATAAGGCTTCAAAAAGGGGAATGTACAACAAATAAACTGCTCGACATCAGAGCAACATATAATGGCTTCCCAAACTTTCTTTGCTAGCTAAAACCCAGAGTAACTTTCGTCTACCACAAAGGATTCTGGAAACAGTTTTCTAATGAAAATACCTGTTAAATGCTCCCCTTTAGCAGAAAATTAAATCTATAATTAACAGCTCTCACTAAACATGTGACTAACACTTAAATCACTTACAAAATAACCAAAATGCTGTTATCAAACAATAAACTGCAATAAAGTTACAACAAGAACCATTATTTGTCCTTGTGACCAAAGTACAAATATAAGGAGGTAGCAGTCCAAGCATAGCTTTGTAAATAAAAGTGTACCAATGTCCCTGTCTTCTAATGGCCAAAGAAGGCCATTTTACTCTTAAGTACAAATCACAGTGATGGGTCAAGTATTTACAATTGGTAATAAACCTCAAGGAAGCATGATACATCGTGTCCAACATTAGAAGACATGAAGAAGAAGCGTTCATATACAGAATGTCACCATAATCTAACACAGATAAAAAGGTTGCAGTGACAAGACGTTTTTTTACTGCAAAAGAAAAGCACTGTTTATTAGGAAAGAAAAAACGAAGTTTAAGTCTCAGTTTCTTTACTAGTCTCTCTATATGTGGTTTAAAGGTGAAGGAGTCATCAATCCAGACACCAAGGTATTTATATTCATGAACTACTCTATGACATTTCCTTCAAGGGTGGACACCACTGGAATAGGCTCCGGGACCTTCTTTGACTTAGAAAACAACATTAGCTTAGTCTTGTCAGCATTGAGAACTAATTTTAGCTGAATAAGTGAATGCTGGAAAGCAACAAAGGCTTTCTGTAGGGTTTCAATGGCCTGAGCAAGAGATGATCCATAACAGTAAATAACTGTGTCGTCAGCATAAAAATGCAAATTTGTGTCTGAGACATTTTGACCCAAGTCATTGATATATAAAAGGAACAGAAGGGGACCCAAAACTGAGCCCTGTGGCACCCCCTTGTGGACAGCAACAAATTTAGAACAAAGACCTTCAAGTTTAATGCACTGGGTTCTATTTTTCAGATAATTTGAGAACCACGCTAATGCATGTTCTGACAATCCAAGGCTGAGCAGTCTGTTTTTTAGGACTGCATGATCAACAGTGTCAAAAGCTTTTGAGACGTCAATAAAGAGTGACGCACAGTACAATTTCTTATCAAGTGCCACAATAATATCATTTATCACTTTCATAGTGGCAGTGTTAGTACTGTGTTTTTTCCTGAAGCCTGACTGAAATTTGGAGACAATATCATTAGAGTACAAAAACTCTTTCAACTGGTCACAAACTAGAGATTCCAGGATTTTGGATAAAACACACAAATTTGATATTGGCCTATAATTAGTCAACACCGATGGATCACCTCCTTTCAATAAAGGCAAAACGAAAGCTGATTTCCAAACCGATGGAATTTCTTTGGTTTTAATTGAAAAATTAAATAGAATTGAGAGTGGTTCTGCAATAAAATCAGCTGCCAACTTCAAAAAATAAGGTTCCATCAAGTCTGGACCAGGAGGTTTTCTGTGATCCAAAGCCTTTAAAGCTTTATGCACTTCATAAACACTAAAAGGTACAAAGTTAAAACGGTCTCCAGAAAACATAGAGAGTTCTGGGCAAGTATTTGTTAAAAAAGTTTCTGCAGAAGCAAACAAGGAACCCACTGATAGAAAGTGTTCATTAAAACAATTCAAAATTTCAGTTTTATCATTAATTGAGACTGAATCTTTTACAACAGATTTAGGAAAGGTTTGAGTCATTTTATGGGCGGAAAAAGACTTGATTACTTTCCAAAATTTCTGTGGATCATTGAGGTTCTCAGTGGTGACGGACAAAAAGTATTCAGATTTGGCCTTTTTAATAAGAGAAGTACATTTATTTCTAAGCTGTTTGAAAACAGACCAATCAGTGGAAGTATCTGTTTGTCTCGCCTTGTCCCATGCTCTATTACGCTTGTGTATGCTATCTGCAAGTGTCTGCAAAAACCAAGGATTTTCTCGACCTTTAATTCTAACTTTCCGTAAGGGGGCATGTTTATTAACAATTCCCATAAAACTTTCCTTAAAATATGTCCAAGCTAGCTCTACATCTGGTAATAGTCCGATTTTTTCCCAATTAACTAATGACAAATCATGATGAAAAGCCTGTTCATTAAATTGTTTAAGATTCCTTTTGCACACTATCCGTGGCTTACATTTTGGAATTTTAGCATTTCTGCAAACAGCAACAACACAGTGATCACTTAGGTCATTACAGAAAACACCAAGCGAAGAGAATTTATGAGGTACATTTGTTAAAACCAAATCAATTAATGTAGACTTTTCAGGGCATCTAAGATTTGGCCTGGTAGGAAGATAGACTAGCTGGGTAAGATTAATTGAATCGCAGAATTCTTTAAATTCACCAGAAGTTGCATTTAGCCAGTCCCAGTTCAAGTCTCCAGCCATTAGTAGTTCAGTATAATTTAGTTTAGCCAAAAGGTGCTTTAATGAAGATAATGCCTCTTTTGAAGCAGATGGGGGCCTGTAACACCCAGCAATGGTTATCGAAAAAGTATTAGCAATATCTACATTCAAGGCCAAAAACTCCATTTGTTTGCATATCGATTGGGACAGAACAATCGAAGCATTAAATCTTGATTTGACATAAATAGCTACACCGCCTCCTTTTTTTGGCCTATCAGTGCGACATACATTGCACCCATATATGTTAATGTCTTCATTAGTAATAGATTTAGTTAACCAAGTTTCAGAAATTATAACAACATCTGAATCTGTAGATTTAACCCAAATTTTGACCATGTCCATCTTTGGTAGTAGGCTGCGCACATTAAGATGAATATATTTGACACCAGACATTATTTTAAAATCAGAAGGAGTCTGGGAATATTGCAGTTCAGGGCCAGGATTTGGTTGCACATTTCCTGACAAAAGTAGAAGCAAGACAATCAACAACCTCTGTTTCGCCTTTGATTTGGGTTCAATGCTTTGATATGTTGAACCCGAGCTGAAACCTCCATTAAATGGGCAAATGAAATAAGTATGCAAGGCCAGAATAGACTGAAGTTTAGGTAAGTCTCTGGGCAAAACATGCATGAAACTAATGTCATGATCCAACTGAGTTGATAACTGCTCTGATTTTTGCAACATTATAGAGCGTGTACCTTTTTCAAAATTCTCTTGTAGATAAAAATCATTTTCAGAGGTTCCCCTGCTATGTGTCCATAAACAATTGCTTATCCGAGGGTCCAAAAAGGCCAAGAGGCAAATTAGAATAGTAAATACTGCCATCATCCACAATTTTAGTACTTAACAGAAGTGAACAGTACAGACCTCTGGGTGAAGCAAACCAGTTAGCTCCAGGAAAATGGCACCGGACCAGACCTAAGCCAGTTAACTCCAAAAGGATAGCACTGGGCCAGGCCTAAGCCGGTTTACTCCTGGAGGACAGTGCAGGAGCCAATTTGCTCCTGTGGGAAGATGCTGGATCGGGCCTAAGCCAATTAAAAAAAAAAAAATGGCCTGCATTTGTATAGCGCTTTTCTAGTCCATAGGACCCCAAAGCGCTTTACACTACATTCAGTCATTCACCCATTCACACACACATTCACACACTGGCGATAGCAAGCGACATTGTAGCCACAGCTGCCCTGGGGCGCACTGACAGAGGCGAGGCTGCCGGACACAGGCGCCACCGGGCCCTCTGACCACCACCAGTAGGCAAACACGGGGTTAGTATCTTGCCCAAGGATATTTGGCATGCAGCCAGGATGCAGCCTGGGATCGAACCACCGACCTTCTGATTAGTGGCTGACCTGCTCTGCCACCTGAGCTACAGCCACCCAAATTAGCTCCTGAAGGACGGTGCAGGGCCAGGCCTAAGCCAGTTAGCTCATGGGAGATGGTACAAGGCCGGACCTAGGCCAGTTAGCTCCACAAGGATGGCACAGGGCCAGGCCTAAGCCTAAGCCAGTTGACTCCTGGAGGACGGTGCAGGGCCAGGCTAGGCTTGTTAGCTCCAGGAAGATGCATCCATCAACTTCCAAAGCATCTACCAACCACACGTTTTTCCAAACAATCCATGCAATATTAACTGTCTGGTTAAAAAATAAGTTAAAAAAATTAGTTAAGAAATACATTAAGAGATAGATTAAAAAATCTTTTAAAAACAACTAATTAGACGGACACGTAACAAACAAAGAGCATGCTGCCATCTTGGATTCAATATAATATAATATAGTACTTGTGCAACATTCATTTGGTTTAAGTAAAATTCATATAAATGTTTACATCATGAATATCAAGTGAAAAAAAATTTGATCTTTAGACACATTACTTACTTTATACTTAATACATTTTAGATGTATTGTTTGTTGAAGGTAAGAAGAAACTGCTGAAACCATGTTGAGTTTGTTTTTGGTTTACACATGATCTGTACTGATCTGATGCAATATGTGATAAAGCTGAATCATCCCTGTGTCTGTAGTGCTCAGTGTTTATCTCATGAAGCAACCAATGAATGCGCAGCAATGAATATTAGAAACTGATTGGACTGGAGTGACTGGTTTTTCAGCGACACATTAATCCTGTTTCCTGCTCGGCTCCAGCGACTCCTTTCACTTTGACAGCGGCAGTTTGGATAGTTGTGTCGGAGTCTGGGGTCTTTATCTGTGGTAAGTCTTTTTATTTATTTTTGTTTGTCTTGTTTTTGAGTCAGAGAACGAACAAACAAGAACCTTATAACAAAAAGCAGGTTAACTTCATAATAAATATCATAATCTAACTCCAACCCTGGTGACTCTGATTCAGTGATAGGACTAGATGTTACAATCTCTGATAATGCATAGCTTTAAATGGAGAAAATCTTAAGGGAGCACTGTTACAAGGAAAGGCAGCCCAGAAACTTTACCAGCGGGACACATCGTTGTGTGCCACGACTTCACAGGGTGTTTCGATCTTTTACCCAAGACCAGCCCATTTCTTTCCTTCCTTGGTTAGGTTTTGGTATTAGCCAATAAAATCTCAAATATACAGGACCAATTTAATAATGGAACATTGTATTTGATGCTTCTTTAGAAAGAAACAAGTGTAAACCAATTCTTTTGTATGCTATTGTTTAGTTGTGTATGAACTGAACAGTGTTCCTGGTGAGTATTTAAAGGATCACCACCAACTTTGCCAGAGTCTTTGCACTTTTCTTTAATATATTTAGCAAATAGAGACAACCACAGAGCTGACTGCAGCAGCATCTTTGTTTTTTCTTTCGAACTCAGGAGCCCAGCTGTCTGATATGGCTGAAGATGAAGCACGTTTGCTAAAATTATGAAACATAATTCCAGGATTAAACTGAGTAGTCACGTGTCTGTGTTGAACTGTGACAATCATCAGTGAGCTTTTCAGCTGTTTGGGGCAGGGTCAGTTTCCTCCCCTGACTTTGAAAAGATCCTGGTTTTTGACCCGGTTGACTTTTAAGCTGTAAGGTTTTATTTCTACACTGTTAATGAAAGCTAGAGAGCTTGTTCTGCTTTCAAAGGAAAATGTTGTAGCAGCTCAAGGGGTGAGAGAACTATCCCAAAGACTCACTGTTCACACAAATATAAATGTGCAGACTTACAGTATTATAACACTTATTCCGGTAACGTTGTTCATTTTTAATGTGACTGTAGCTGTTTTTCTGGTATGAGACTGCTCTGCCAGTTAATGAGCTCTGGTAAGCACTGGTTGAATTCCTTACAGCATGGTGTATCAGCTTTAATTAGTTGTGGAAATATGATAGTCAGACAGTACAATTTCAGGAATTTGACTCTAGTCAGTCACTCGAACCACAGAGCAACAACTGTTTAGTAGACTATCATTAAGTACATTAAGTGGAATGTATTTATTCCTCCACTGATAAGAATCAAGTTCATCCAGCAGACTCTCACTCCTTCATTTATGTTCAGGACAGGACTAGTAATCTGGCAAACCAGGCATTTACCTGATGGGTCAATATAATCTTTTCATAATTGAAATAATCATACAGGCTACAGTTGGCTTAAAGGGTGAGTGAAAATCAGCCCTACAAGTACTGCCATCAACCCACTGGTTCATGTTTATTACTCCCCTGCTGTCCCCATGTTCTTGTGCACCTTGTTGGAAGAACTGGTTGGTATATATAGACACACAAAAGCAAAAACAGGATGGAGCTGAAAAAAATAAATAAATACAATTAAATGTTCAAGTTAACTGACGCTTAAGCAGCTGCACCATCAATATTAATTCAAACAACAGCACTGAAACATTCAGAGCATGTGTGCCACAGAAGAGCTGTGTGTGGTGTGCTGGGCAGGAAAAGGCAGCTGGAAGCCTGTAAAAACAAAACGTGCAGAGAAACACCGTAAACAAACATACACTGTTTCACAGCATCTGTGGGCGTGGGGTCTTTTTGTGTCAGAGCAAAAAAAAGGAAAGAAAAAAATTCATTTTTGGGAAACGGCTTAAATATAAATGGGATCAACACTGAAACAACTCCATTGGGACTGAACCTATTTTTTCTGTTATTGCTACAGAGTGGAGAAACTCACTGATCAACAGCACAGGATTTGCAGTCTGGAGATGTTGCTCAGAGGGACGAAGAAACGCATGAAGAAACGCACCACAAAGAAGCTCTGAACGTGAAATCCTTGAAGAGATTTTCTCTTATCTTTGTTTGCACTTGAAAGTTTTTCAAGAAGCAGCACTCTTTTCCAGTGGTCACTGAAATATTTCTTTGAGGTAAGATTCCTTTAATGTTGTTAAAGGATCAGAAACATTAACATTTAGAATAAAACACATGATGTTATATTAGACTGCTGGGCTGCTTCCTGTGAGATGCAGAGAGTAACAGGAAGCTTGTTTTGCTTGTTGATTTTCAGAGTAATGAGTGATGGCTCTTCAGGAGATCAGTGTGATCTTTACACACAGACCCTCGGCTTTCTCTGCTGCTGTGCTGCTTCTAACACTCGTCCTCTGCAGAGGTGAGTATACAGATGTTTAGCAGAGTCACACTTTATACAAATGATTAAGCTCAGAATCTGAATCATGAAAAACTCAAAGAATATGAATTAAAAACAAAACACTGCGTAACAGACCCAGGACCCTGACACCTTTAGGATTGTAGGTCTGTGTAGTAACCTGTGGTTATTTTTAAATCTCATTCTTTTTGCCTGAAATTAGATTTTCAAAAAAACAAACAAACAATAAAACACACCAATGAAAATATGTTAAACATTTTTACAAATTACAATCAGGATGAGAAATGAGGCAAAAACAAAAAAGGAAAAGAAAAGCACAAACAGTAACAAGGATTAAAAACAGCATTAGACAAATATCGGAGTCAATGTTTAAGAAAAGTCAGCCAGTTTAAACAGATGGGTTATAAGTTCTGACTCAAACGAGGGAAGCGAGTCAGTATTCTTGATATCAGGAGGAAAATAATTCCAGAGCTGAGGAGCAGAGCAACTGAAAGCTCTGTTACCAAATTAAGCAGAGTTTTACTGTCAACCCAACAATATACACTCAAGTATACAGTGGGATAAAATATTGTCCTCCTGCATCGAAGGTGCAAACTGTAAAAATAAAATGAAAGATTTAAATATATGACTATACAGAAATAAGAGGAACTAGGAATGAATACAACAGTATGGTACCTTAATAGAAATAGAATAAGAAATAGAAAGAATCAGGATTAGCTTAAATACACAGAGTCAAACAGTACAATACAGAATAGTGCAAGTATTGGATATGAGAGGAGAGTTTAACGTGTTGTGTAGTCCAAGAAGTGTGTAGAGAAGAGACTCCAGTGTGGAGGAGGGCAGCATGGTGTTCAGGAGATGGACTGTTTGGGGGGAAAAGCTAATGCACAATGTCGACAACCGGCTCCTGATACTGCAGAGTCGTCTTCTGGATGAAAGGGGAATAAACAGTTGGTGGGAGGGGGGACGCGGGTCAGCTATGATGCTAGTGCCTTTACGAATGCAGCGTGAGGTGTAAATATCCTGTAGACTGGGTAGAGAGCAGCTGTTACTGAGTACAGTAACAGCCTAGAGATGATATGATGGTAAAAGTATCTATGGAGACCAACACTGGTTCATGTAGAAGACTGTAAACATGATCATTTCTGCTTCAAGTTGGACTTTTTAACACAAGAGTCTTTGTGGCTTACACACACGTGAGGCTAATTCTTCATGGAGCTGCTGGTCCACGTAACATCCCTGAAGGAGGCCTGAGAGTCTCAGTCGACCACAGAAATCCACAGTGTCCAACCTCAGTGACACTGTTACTGAGCAGCTTCATCAGGACATGTGAGGAAACCAACACTGAAGAGCCACAAACCGTTTCTCTCATCACAACACTTTTTTTAGTGTCTTCATGTTTTCATGTTTCAGTTTTGTAAGTTTCCACATGGTAAAACAAAACTATGTACAGAGCCAAGAGCAGCTTAATTCACTGATATAACATTACATCAGCTTTTAAGTTAATACAAAATATTATTAAAACATATGTTATGTTTTGTTTTGTTTTGTTTTGTTTTGTTTCATTTTAGAATCAAAGCCTGAGAAGACAGAAACAATTCAGCAACCTGGAAATGTTCAGACGCCGGATCAGAGTGAAGATACCAAAGAAGCAGGTAAAAATATATATAGAACAGAAACACTCCCATCCAGTTTTCTAGAAATGGATTCCTTTTAGTCTCAGACTAAAAGGAATCCAAGACTAGGCTCGTTCTATAGAAATAAAATGTAAATAAAGTCTGGTGTTCACCTCTCACAGTAATACTGCTTATTTAATGGTTAATTCCATTTCCTGTCTTTAAAATGTGCTCGTTTATATCATTAACACTAAATTGTGTTTTTACTGTTTTTGTACCTTAGGAATTTCTTTCTCAGGCCGGCTAGCAATCGTCTGGGCTGTATTCATCTGTATCTCTCTGATCTCATGGGGATTTATGCTTTATCAGAATTGCAAAGAACCCGTAAGTCTGTCAGAAAAACAGGATTTTCTTTTAAGTGTTGTAAATATAAAATAATGAAAACAAATTTTTATGGTTTGTGTCAGAATATCATTTGCTCTGTCACAGTTTAAAGCAGTTTAAAGTTTCTTAAACTTGTCGTGTTCAGTATAACTCAGTGAATCTTTGAATTGTCTTTCATTTTTAAACAGACCGCCTCAAGCAAAACCAGGAAGTTAATGAGGAAGAAGCTCTCAGCAGGTGAAACTTCTAGCTCAGACTTATGACGACAACAACAGCTGGAAGTTGCAGATCTCAGACTGTGAATCGAAACTCTTTATAACACATCATGGCAATAAACCAGATTTGAAGTCTTCAGTTTGATGATGTTCAGTAAGTTGGCGTTGAGAACAAACAGAGGGGGAAAACACCCAACATAAAAAAGAGAGAAAAGATTTGAATTCAGGGCTTCTGTCCAATATTGATATCCTTCAACTCATTTGAAATATAAATATCATGAGCTGTTAAAAAACCCAGAATGATTTGAATTAAAGTTAAAGGCAAGTAGAAAACAATATTAACGGGATGGGGCTTCATGTTTTGTTTAATAAAGTCTTGTTATCATTTTCATTCACAGTAAAATGGTTTCTGTACTTTTGTTTTCAGACTACATTCACAAAACCTTCTGGCAAAGACACACACAACACACACACACACACACACACACACACACACACACACACACACACACACACACACACACACAATTATAGGCCTTTACAGAACAGCAAAGGTGTACTCTCAGTGGCAAGGGAACAATAAGAGAACAGCACCACCAAGGCTGGAGACGGAGCAATACTGGAAGAGCATATGGGAGAAGGACACAACCCATAACGGCAATGCTCAGTGGCTAGTGGATCTGAGGGCAGACCACAGCGACCTCCCTGAACAGGGTCCAGTAACCATCACAGTGGCAGATATCCAAGAAAGGATCTCCAGTATGAAGAGTTGGACAGCACCAGTCCCCGACATGGTTCATGCCTACTGACTGAAGATCCTGACTTCACTCCATGAGCATCTGGCAGCACAAATGAACCAGCTCCTAGTTAAAGAAAGACACATAGAATGGTTAACCCGGGGGTCCCGGGGTCCTTGAGGATCCAACTACCATCCAACTACCGACCAATAACCTGCCTCAGCACCACGTGGAAGCTCCTGTCAGGCATCATATTGGCTAAGATGAACAGACATATGGGTCAATACATGAGTGGGGCACAGAAAGGGATTGGCAAGAATACCAGTGCAAAACACCAGCAAGACCAGGCTGACCAACCTGTGCTCTGCCTGGACTACAAGAAGGCCAATGACCCACGCATGGATCCTGGAATGGACCTGTACAAGATTAACAGGAGCCTTCATCAGGAACCCAATGGGGATGTGGCGTACAACACTAGAGGCCAACTTCAAATCCATAGCACAAGTCGCCATCAAGTGCGGAATCTACCAAGGATATGCTCTGTCCCCACTGCTGTTCTGCATAGGCCTGAATCCCCTCAGTGAGATCATTGATAAGACTGGCTACGGAAACCGACTATGGAATGGAGCAGTTGTCAGCCATGTTATTGCTCCCCCAAGGGTGATGGAGAATGACTGAGCTAAGATCCTGTGGGACTTCCAGATACAGACGGACAAAATAGTGGTCGCTAACCAACCAGACATAGTGGTGGTAGACAAACAGAAAAAGACGGCCGTAGTGATTGATGTAGCAGTTCTGAATGACAGCAACATCAGGAAGAAGGAACATGAGAAGCTCGAGAAATACCAAGGGCTCAGAGAAGAGCTTGAGAAGCTGTTTTAATAAGAAGATGTCGAAAAGAAGCTCCCACGCCTATGGTAGAGGACCCGAATTTGAAGGATGCCTGCAGGGGCGAGCGTGGAATTTAGTCCAACTTTCAGTGAGGAAAAGAGTGAGGCAAATTTAAACTAATTATTGTACTGTTGCCTTTTTATAAAGACCTCTTACTGTACAATATAAAGCTCCTTGAGGCCACTGCTGTTGTGATTTGGTGCTACATAAATAAATTGAATTGAATTGAATTGAATTGAATTGAATTGAATTGAATTGAATTGAATTGAATTGAATTGAATTGAATTGAATTGAATTAATGTCTGTGGAAAGCTCTGCCCGGTGTTGAAAGCTGGAACTACTCCTGCACCAGCACTTATGTCATCCTGTCTATCTACACTCACATTTATGAACTTTCAGAGGTCAGAATCACTGCTGGTCACAACTGATGATCCAAAACTCAGCTACAGGTTGGTTTATATTGCTTGTTGTGCACTACAGTGTTACAGTGTTGCTGCCTGTCATGCATTTGTTTTATTCACTATTTTAAGACTGTGCATTTTTTAATATACCTGTATGTTTGCTTTTTATCTTCGAATTATTATGTGTTTGGTTTCCATGCTTAGTGTGTGTGTTTTTTTTTCTTTCTTTCTTTAACACAGTGAACAAAAAAAAGTCAGTTCTTCAACATCATAAACAAAAGCATGAAGTGTTGCATCACATTACAGCTGACTCTGTGCATCAAATGCATCAAAAAGTTTGAAATTACTTAAAGCAGCAAAAACATTTTTTAAAAAGACCTGGCTCAATGAAATAAATATTAATTTTCAGATTTTTCTCACCTCTGGTTAAACAGGAAGCTCTCGTGTTCTGGAGACTTTGCTTTGGTTCATTATTGCGGCTCAAGGATCACAGCTAACAAACTCTGATATCAGAATGGAAACTGTTTTTCTTTATTCTCATTTTTATTGTTTGTAGGAAATCATACTTAATTATTGACATATTAGTTTTGTTGCTCTAATTTACTACATTTACTGTTGTGACATATTACAATGCACATTACATTCAGGTTAAATTTACATCACATGGGCTTAACTGTGAACACATTTTTGATTATTGCTTTTTAGTCCATGGGAATTATGACCACTTGCTCCCAAATTCTCATCCGGGCTAAATATGCATAAGCAAAGTCATGAAACATGTCTGTGTGTAAAGGCAACACAATTTGAAACACATATAAACACATATAAAATACATTTTACCATTTTTTTACCGTTTGATACAGTGCTTTCAGTTCGGTATGCATATGTATCAAATAATACCAAATTTTTAATTTGTTTTATCAACTTTTCTTCTGACGATGCTGTCTGTGTCAAGGGCTCAGTGGATCTGCATTCGACTACTCCGCATAGGCTGCACTGTCGAGCGCAGATCCACTTACCCTGGCTGATTGGGACCCACACGCATTTTCACACCTTGGCTCAGGCGATTAGAGGATCATCAGGGGGTCCTTTTGTCCCTCTGTGTGGGGAAACTCCCACTAGGTTTAAATCTGGGACTCTCCACCATTTGACCTTAGAACTGAAGAAGCTTCTCGGATGAGAGGTGAAACGTCTTCAAGCAACTTAAAGAAGTCCAGACGCTTTTCTTTGAAAGCTCCTTTGACTACGATGACCTGGATGACTCAGAACCTACACAGACATGTCCACTGAGTGCAGCACAAGCTAGTGAGACAGAAGCTAAGCTCATTGCAACATGGCAACTGCCTCAACGCTACCCAAAATTTAACCCCCCCCTCCCTCATTCGGATCTGGCGTTTGGAGCTATTTTGGTTTTCATGTGAAGTATGACCTTGATGGACAAAAGTAAAACAATATGTCGGATGTGCCACGCAATGCTCAATTACATTGGTGGGAACTAGTGCGTTAGCGCAGTTAGCTCGTTAACGTGTTGACGCCGTCCAGCCCCACGCACGGGGCGAACCGCGGTAGCTCGTTAACGGAGATTTGCCGTGTTATGGCGTTAACGTCATTTTAACGACAACGAATATGACTGCACATTTACGCCGACATCATCCTAGTGCAAAGACAAGTGGAAGCAGACAAAAACAACAAGCACGCATGCTACAAACTTTACCCGAGTCATTTAGACAGCCGTTAGCACATGATTCTCCTTATGGGGACCTGATATGTTTAATATGCTGCTGAGAATATACCCCAGAAGAAGCGTATAGTATAGCTTTTATTTTGGAAAGAGCCATTTCTCTGTAATAAACTCTCTTTTCCAAAGATGAGTGATTTCTCGATCAGATAGATTTTTTTATTACTTTGTTGTTTCAGCAACATTAAATTTAAAAACTGTACTTTTGAGTTAAAATCAAGTCAAAGTCAAAGTCAACTTTATTGTCAATTCTGCCACATGTACAGGACATACAGAGAATAGAAACTACGTTACTCTCAATCCCTAGATAAAAAAGCAAATGAACATTTAAATATAAGAGTGATTAAAAAATGCAGGTAAAATAATTAAAAAGTAAAAATTTAAATAAATAAATACAATACAATTTTACATATAACAAGAAAGCTATACAATATACAATATAATGGGTAAATGACATTGGTGTAAACCAGGCAGAGTAGTGCAAATAGGCAAATAGTGCAAATGGAGATTTAGTGATGTACGGTAAGAGATAGTGTAACAACAAAGTCTTATGAGGTAATGGCAGTCCAATGCTCCACAAAGTGACTGGTAACTGGTGCAGGCCATGAGTGACATGCGACGAGTGCTACGCTGTGGGCTCTTGCTGAATGAAGCTAGGACAGCCACTGATGTTTCTTCATTAGTGACAGTTTTCTTGCGTCCACATTTTGGCAAATCCAACACTGAACCAGTTTCACGAAAACTTAGCAAGCAGTTTGCTAACTGTAGCATGGGAGATGGGTGGTCTCGTATGGTGTCTTGCATTGAAATCTGCTGCAATGACCCGGTTACTGCGTTCACCAGATATCAACACAATTTCGATCCACTCTTCACGTGTTAACCTCTTCGACATGTCAATGGCTGTGAACAAAGAGAAACTTGCAAATAACTCATGAAAGAATAAAGTTATGTTGAAACTACTGTGGGCATACACTCACTGGACTTGACACTAACAACACTAATGTGGAGTCTCATGCAACAGTCCAGCGTCAAGGAACGCTCGGACAAACTATTAAATAGCTCCCAGACGAGGCTTGATCAACTTCAGGTGTGTGTGTGCGTTTCTCGTCCTCAGATGTGGCCAGGCTCCTGGCTGACACCCCCACCAGGGCTGAGGAAGAGGTGCTCTGCCACACCCACATACACACCCAGCTATACACAAACATTAGGAAACAGGACAGTAGCACAAAAAATACACGTCCATACTTATTCAAAGACCCTGGGTCCTTCAGACACAGGTCCGTGACAATTTCACTGGAACTGAACCTGTTCTCCTGTTATTGTTACAGAGTGGAGGAACTCACTGATCAACAGTACAGGATCTGCAGTCTGGAGATGATGTTCAGAGTAGACAAATGAAGAAACGCGCCACAGAGAACCTTGAGGTAAGATTTCTTTAATGTTGTTAAAGAATCAGAAACATTAACATTTAGAATAAAACACATGATGTTATATTAGTCTGCTGGACTTCCTGTGAGATGCAGAGAGTAACAGGAAGGTTGTTTTGCTTGTTGATTTTCAGAGTAATGAGTGATGGCCCTTCAGGAGATCAGTGTGATCTTCACACACAAGCTGTGTCCCAATTAAGAGA